GATTGTGCTGAAAATCCTGCAACCTAGCATTAAATTTTTATTGTAAGATCAAAATTATTTACTATTTTTATTTTTTTGTTGCAGAAAAAAATGTTGTATAGAAAGTCGCTCACTTTAGAAAATTCCAATTTTTTGGTTGCTGTCGACGAACCGAATGAGTTATAAATCTAAGTGGTAACAAATAGCAATCAATGACCTCCAGCAGTTAAATAAATGTATGAATGTGTTTTAAAACGAAATACCTCAAAACATCGCTTAACTAGTTCGCAATTCAAGATGGCTCTATATTAGATTATACAGACTTTTCGTGCAATTAATTTAGCATTCTGAACTGATAAGAGACAATTACAGCTATATCACTGCTTACAACTTCAGAATAGTCAAGCTAGTGACCAAAAACATTCACAAAAAAATCCTACAAATGTTGTGTTTCCGCGAATCCAACTTGTAACCGGAAATTTAAACGCACACGGCTCTTATCTTATTAACAAGAAGCGATTTTTGCAATATTAAACACAATGTGTAGCCAAATGAATGCATGATCGGCTAAATTTTGCAAGCAAAATTCTTTTCGAGGAGTTATTTCAATTAAATTTGAATGTTAAAAATGTCCCAGAGCACATTTATTTGGGCAAATTTGTCAATTTGACCAAGAGCATTGGACTCTTTCAGGGTAAAAGTAGCGATTATTGATTAATTGATGCTAAAGCATTTATGCAAAAAATTCCAGGGCAGAAGAATAGAAACAAAATACATTCTCAAAAAATGTTAAAATGTTTTAAAACTTATTTCTACTTCCAGTTTTTGCAATGCGATGCGCAAGAAAATACACAAAAGCCATGATCAAACATGTCTATCAACTCAAAACAAAAAGTGAACAATCCTTTACGCAACAACGTATTTAAACAGAAATAAGGAATTGCTATTAACAATTCATTTGACATGTATTTGATTGGATTGATCTGACATGTATTTCCACTATTAGCTTGTCTTTCTGGTTTATTTAGTGAAATAAAAATAATTTATAATGAGACATGTTTTTTCCTCTGAAGACGAGGCTCTGCGGTTCTCAGAAAAAGGGCGATGGACTGCTGGAGGATGATCATTAAGAAAATACTGTAAGAATAGGCAAAACTTTAGTCAATAAATCTAATCTGTGTTTGTAAGATCTTTACATTTATCATCAGAATTTAAAATATGAATCCAAATCGAGGGCGGCACGGTGGCTCAGTGGTTAGCACTGTGGCCTCACAGCAAGAAGGTCGCTGGTTCGAGTGCCAGCTGGGTCAGTGTGTGGATGTTCTCCTCGTGTTGGTATGGGTTTCCTCGGGGTGCTCCGGTCTCCCCCACAGTCCAAACACATGTGTTGTAGGGGAATTAATGAACTAAATTGGGCATCCGCTGCGTAAAACATGTCAGAATAGTTGGCTGTTCATTGCGCTGAAAAATAAAGGACTAAGTCGAAGGAAAATGAATGAATGAATCTAAATCTCAGATATATAACTGCATTTAACTGGTGGCCAAGTTTCAACAAAATGTGTAGTTTGCTTGATTATTGCAATCAATTTTTCTCTCAGTGCAGTAAAAACACACTCTGTGCTGAATCTGCATGAAGTATAGCTGCTATAACCGGCTTTGTTTCTTTTCTTTTAACCCTTTCAACACTAGATTTCAGTAAAACAGCACAACGTGTGCTCTGAGCTCTTTCTGAAGGCATCGGTCGTGAGGTATCTTCTTTATATTTGCGCTAAAAAAGGTCAAAATGAACCGAATATGCTGTTTTAATCATGCATGAACTGATAAAGCAATAAATAATTCACGATTTCATGAAAACCTTTGAGCTGGGAAAGAAATGTACAAACTAAAACCTTGCAACAGACTGCAAAGAGATTGAGTTGAGTTCTGCATTCTGACATCATTTCATTCGCGCAGTTATTGATTTAAAAAAGCAGAAAACCTCCATGTTAATGACGTAGCATTACTAAAACATCAGCTTCACTAGTTCACGGTTGGTGGAAGTCACTTCGGTGTTTTCACTGAAAACTGTACACTGTCAGTATTTTAAAAAACGATATTGCTGTTTGAATAAGTTGGATTTTAAGATGTCTATTCACAGTTTCTGGCTTGAGATACCAGTATGCATTATTATCCCCCCCCCCCCCACCACAAAAAAAAAAAAAAAAATACATACAGTTGAAGTCAGAATTATTAGCCCTTCTGAATTATTAGTTGTTCTGTAGACCAGGCATTCCCAAACTTTTCAGCCAGCGACCCTCAAAAAACAAAGCCAGCGTCTCGAGAACCCTACATTCCTCTGAGGTGGTTATAAATACAAAAATGTTGCACACACAACAATAGGCCTATATAAACATGAGCATATTGAAAACACAAAAAAAGTGCAACAGTCTAAGGGCGCTTTCACACCTACACTTTTGTTTCGGAACGTGTCTCGTTTGCCCAGTTAGCGCGGCTCGTTTGGCATATGTGAACAGGGCAATATCGCTCTGTTCCGCGCCAAAGTAATCGCTCCGAGATCGCTTGAATGAGGTGGTCTCGGCTCGATTGAAACGAACCCTGGAGCGGTTGGATTGCAGTGAGAAAGTGATCTGATCCGAGCACGATTATATCACAGTGTTTTATGGATATGTAATAGGCATACGGCTATATGAAGAGAGAATTATGAGTAGGGCGGGAAGTTTCGCGAGTCTCCGGATGCCCGCAAACGAGTGACGATCTCTCGGTAATCTCGCGTCTTCCTCCCAGTCCTCAAATACGCATTGTCGCGCACCCTTCTCACCCCTCCCCACCGCATCTCTCCTCAGACACGTAGCGCGCGCACCCTGTCAATCACCACCAAACCACCACCTCTCCTGACAGTTTAGCGGGACGCTGCAAAATAAACCCTGACAATGACCAATGTAAGGAGAGTTTACTCGCACGTGACTTGTTTTAGCTCTTTTGGTCCGCTCCAAGAGCAAAGAGCAACAATGTAACATTTGTAACCTCTGTTTCAGAACAACTGAATCGATTCACAGGTGTGAAAGCACTCTAAGGCCTAATCCCAATTCTACCCCTTAGTCCTTCCCCTTACCCCTACCCCTTGTTTGGTGCATTTCCGTGAAGGGGTAGGGGTGTCCCAATGCTCTTTAGCTTGAAGGCGTTGGGCTAAGGGGAAGGGGTAGATAGACCTTCGAACAGAGATTTTTCAGGATCACACTCGAAACCAAGGGGTAAGAAAATTTCCCGGACTACACCATCTAGATGACGGAATTCAGGAGATGCACAAATTAGTATTTTTTGTCATTATTAAGAAAAACAAGCACGTTTTAATATAATCATTACTGCGTTCATGTTTTACCATCATGCTAAAAAAAACGCTAAAATAAAAACCGTTAAACTTCGCGATCTATAATCCCTAATAATAACTCCTGTACAGCAGTCCCACAACATTCTGACACTCGAATACCCTGTCAGAAAAGTCTAGAGGCTGGGAATGAGCATTAAACAGTGTCTGCTATAATGTTAATGCTGTTTTCTTGTGTTTATATTGAGGAATATGGCCACTGTCTAAATGCACGGTATAGTTGCGATCTTATAGCCACAGTAGATCATCATGATAACATGATATATGCCTTCAGTGATGTCCTGAAGATTAATACCAAAAATAACACAACTGGAATAACTACAGCAGTCGCTATTGTTGATCTCATATGCATCAAGAGATCGCTATATCATATTTGGTGACGTGTGCAGGTGCAGGTGCTGTCCCTTTTCTAAGGGGTACATTTTAAGCCCTTCCCCTTCACCGTCAGTTTTGAGGGGGAAGGGGAAGGGGTATAAAAATAGAATCGGGATTGAGTCTAACAATCATAAGTTTTAATTTATAGTCATTCATTAATTTGTTGAATTTAATATTAACCTCACCTAAAGAGAATGGTGGACACGGTATTTTCAGCACCATTCTTGTCCATTCTTGGTTTAATTTTGGAGATCGCCTCTCAGAGATCATTCGAAATGTTCTGTATTTATGCCGGTCTTTATTCTTAATGTATTTGATTGCCATAAAGGTGTCAGAAAGTTTAACCTGATGCTATAAAATCAATCTGCTGCTGCTGACGCTGTTGTTAATCTAACGTAAACACATGATCCTATGAAAACAATTATAAGGCTGATGGCTTTTTATTTGCACGTTGTTGCTTTTTGATGTAACTATGAGCTACTATTTTTCATCTTCTGTTGATTATGGATAAAATATGGCTATTCTAATAGTTGAATAAAATTTATTTGACTTTTGGAAATTACCAAGCGCCCCCCTGTCCCGTGAACCCCACTTTGGGAACCACTGCTTAGACAATCAAAAAAAGGGGGCTAATAATATTGACCGAAGAGTTAGGGCTGACGCGATCATCATAGCAGCATCAGCCAATGAAATTAGTCTGTAACTGACTACTGTCGGATGCATTTGCATAAAGCGATCTGATTGGCTTGCGCATCCATTGGTGCTTGAAAAGTTGAGAAATGTTCAACTTCTGCTGTGAGCAATGCCATTAAAGCAGTGCCCACCTACCCACAATTCAGTTCAGCAACGCTTGACGTCATCCATTCAAAGTGTGTGGGAAGATTTGACGCTGATGCCCCATGTGAATGGGGCGTAAAATTTTTTTCCAGAAATTAAAAGCTTCTTTTATTCTAGCTGAAATAAATCAAATAAGACTATCTCCGGAAGAAAAAATATTATAGGAAATACTGTGAGAAATTCCTGAATCTGTTCAGCATCATTTGTGAAATATTTAAGGGCTAATAATTTTTGTCTTCAACTGTATTTCCATTTGAATCGTCTTGAATTTCTCTCTCCAAACAAAGTCAACAACCGCAGAAAATCATCTTTCTGCACGTGTGGTTATTACTCCAGAAATCCGGCCAACAGTGGCTTATATGATGCTCCTTATAAAAGATGGCAGGCCCCTGAGAGAGCAGTGTTTTTCCGGAAATGTGGGTCTTCAGTACATGTCTCTGTAGATCTCCTGCAGCAGCGGATGCAGCGACGTGTCCTCCGTTTTCTTGATCTCCTGTATGAGTTGTGCATGTTCGGTCACCAGCTGACGCAGGTCCACCAGCTTCTGCAGGAGTTTGGGGAACAGAAAGCCGTGATCCGGGTGGTTGCTCTTCAGGTGCAGATGGAGAACGTTAACAATGCTCTCCTGCATTCGCTCGATATGCGGGACGTTCACCAGACCGGGACGATCTGAAGAGAAAAAGGAGAGGAAAATACATAAATCAATCGATCTTTTAACCTTTATATACGCTCACCGGCCACTTTATTAGGTACACCTGTCCAACTGCTCATTAATGCAAATTTTTAATCAGCCAATCACATGGCAGCAACTCAATGCATTTAGACATGTAGACATGGTCAAGACGATTTGCTGCAGTGCAAAGCGAGCATCAGAATGGGAAAGAAAGTGGATTTAAGAGACTTTGAAGAGCATCTCTGAACACACAACACGTCCAACCTTGAGGCGGATGGGCTACAGCAGCAGAAGAGCACACCGGGTGCCGCTCCTGTCAGCTGAGAACAGGAAACTGAGGCTACAATTCACACAGACTCACCAAAACTGGACAATAGAAGATTGGAGAAACGTTGCCTTCTACTGATGAGCCTCCATTTCTGCTGACACATTCGGATCTACGCGATGAAGGATTAAAGCAGATCTGAAGGCAAAAGGGGGTCCATGATACTAGTAAGGTGTGCCTAATAAAGTGGCCGGTGAGTGTATGTATCAATTTAAAATGACATTTAAATTAAATTTAAAAGAGCCGGCATACCTCCACAGCAGATGATGGCAGCGACAAACAGTGCGAGGTCACTATCGTCCAGCTCTAGAGAGTTGAACTTCATGGCGAACTGAAACTTGGGCTCCATCATGTCGCTGAAGGGCCGCCGCAAACTCTTCAGAAACTCTCTGGTGATGAAGCCACTGCCGTACGCCACCAGAAGACCGTCTTTGTTCATGCAGGAGGCCAGCATGGCGAACAGAGCCTCATGGACACCGTACTTCAGTAACGTTACCTGTTAGACACACACTGCATTCAATACCAACACAGGCTGATAGGGAAAAACCAATGCAATGGGTCAGTACCGCTGACTGCTTACTAGGGCTGCACAATACAGTTGAAACCAGAAGTTTACACACACTCTAAAAGAGAAACATAACCATTTTTTTAAATGTCTGATGGTAAATTATACTAAACGTTTACTATTTTAGGTTATGATTACCTAAATAATTTACATTTGCTAAATGCCAGAATAATGAGAAATTTTTTTGGGGAATTTTTATTAATTCTAGACAGTCAAAAGTTTACACACATTTCCTTGGTATTTTTTAAGCTTTGCTTTTAAACTGTATAACTTTGCTCAAATGTTTTGGGTCTCCTTCCACAAGCTTCTCACAATAGTTTGCAGGAATTTTGGCCCATTCCTCCTGACAGAATTGGTGTAACTGAGTGAGATTTGTAGGCTGTCTTGCTCGCACAAGCTTTTTCAACTCAACCACACATTTTCTATAGGATTGAGTACAGGGCTTTGTGATGGCCACTCCAAAACATTCACTCTGTTGTCCTTAAAGCACATTTGAACTAATTTGGCCGTATGCTTAGGGTCATGGTCTGCTTGAAAGACCCATTTGTGGCCAAGTTGTAATTTCCTGGCTGATGTCTTGAGATGTTGCTTCTGTATTTCTCCATAATGTTCTTTCTTCATGATGCCATGTATGCTGTGAAGTGGACCAGTCCCTCCTGCAGCAAAACAGCCCCACTACATGATGCTGCCGCCCCCATACTTCACAGTTGGGATGGTATTCCTGGGCTTGTAAACTTTCCCCTTTGTCCTCCAAATGGTCATTATGGCCAAACAGTTCAATCTTAGCTCCATCAGAGCACAGCACATGTCTCCAAACATCAGTCTTTTCCCAGTGTAGTTTAGCTAAGTGTAATCTGGCTTTGTTGTTGATTCTGGCTTGTTGATTTTCCCATGTTGTCACACAAGGAAGCAGTGTGTTTGAGCTTTTCCTTCAATCCTATTCTACAGTTGTACCTCCAATTAACTCAAATGTTGAGAAACTTCCAAAAGCTTGACATCATCATCTGAGCTTTTCAGAAGCAGAATAATCTGATTGTATGTAAACTTTTGACTTTCAAGAAAAGCTATAACAATTTCTCAAACAATCTCTCTCATTATTATTCTATTAAGCAGAACAGAAACACATCTGATAATCCTAACTAACCTAAAAGAGAAAAAGTTTAGTCACATCAGCATCTGACTTTTTAAGATAATTATGTGCCTTTTTATACAGTGTATGTAAACTTCTGCTTTCAACTGTATATGGTTTTAGCATTGATATCACAATGTGTGCATATGCAATAGCCACTTCACAAGATACTCAATGTTGGGTCTGAATTACAGTTCACCAGGAGCTACAGTATTTAATTACTGCATTACTGCATACTTTTTGTCTTGTTTCTAGTCCAAATATTTACATTTCAAAGCACAAACTAGATTATTTCAATTAGCCCACAGGCAGATACCCATCTTAATTTTGCCTCGTTTCTTTTGAAGTTGAAAACAAATCAATATTTTTATTTGATCTAAGAATTTTTAGATATTTGGACTAGAAACGAGACAAAGCAAAATAGGAAGAATATGTTTTGCATTGAGATTTTTAAATTTCTGTACCTGACAACTATTAGACTGCCCAGAACTCTGTCAAATATTCCAACTATTATGTGAAACTGTAATAAAATCACAATATTTATCGTGGAAAAATAAAGTATCTAGGGCTGTCAAATGATAAAAAAAATTAACGTAATTAATCACAATTGCAATTAATCATGATTAATCATGAAACGCTGTATTTATTACAGAAATAAAAACACAGGCATGTTAGTTGGAATTTTAAAACAATCAATACCAATAACATACAAAAATGATTTCCATGTTGGATTCTAAGTGGACTACAAACACACGCACACACACACACACAACGCGCACAGCACAGCGCACCTGATCCGAGGGATCTCTTCAGATTCATCAACACCCACGATCGCGTTCATCAAATTTGCTTAAACTAAGCATTCTAAAGTATAGGTGTATTATACAAGCAAAGATTCTGACACAGCAACAAGAAGCAGACGCTTTACAAACGTTGCGTGTAGGCGGGAAACACGTCAAACTTATGAAATGTGAGGGCTCATGAAAGCAGCATGAAGGCAGAGAATAGGGCTGTCTTTGACAGCTTGTGACTTCATCTGCCACTTTCACTGAGTACATTTATATGGACAGCAACACTCCGCTTTTATGATTAAGATTATACTCTGATTAAGAGTCAACAATGTAAACAGCGATTTTTGATTACCTTAAAGGATCACGCGAGTCCCGAAATGCGGAGGTTTTTCTTTGTTCGCCATGCGGTATCAAATTCCATTAAAACACCCTGAATGAAAAACGGCTGAATAAGAGTGAACTGCTGAACTGCAGTTAAAGTCTAATGATTAAAAATGAAACACCCGAAACTCTGGAGGAAACGCAGGACAGCCTGGTGATGCCACATTAATTGTTTAATACTGAAACTTTCCTTCTAAAAATTTCTTTGCACTTAAACCCACGCAGGGCTGGAGCAAGCTGAACTGGCCATCTAGGCAAACGCAATCACGCTGTCCTGAACTCGAAAGTGACCGGATCGCAGATGAAAGTGAGGGAGGGGGTGGGTGTAGCAAATGAAAGGACCGGGGGGTTCTCTCACTATTCTGCTGCCCAAGTATGCATGCGCCATCCCTGAACACACGTCAGCCACAACAGGAAATGAAAAAAAAACTGCAACTGCGTTATTTGCGTTATTTTTTTTTTACACATTAAATATTTCAAATTAATCACGTGCGTTAACGCGCTAATATTGACAACCCTAAAAATATCCAGTATTAGATTTTTACAATAACGTATCGTAATATTTTTTCTGATTTGCTCAGTGATTCACCATGAATGACACTAGATTTGGGAGGCAGAGTGGAGTACATCGGGGTTCAAGTTTAACGAATACATGTATGAGCAAAAAAAATAACGCATTTGAGATTGTCAAAAATGTACACGGCATTTATCAAATCGAATCAAGAGCTTGTGAATCAGTATCAAATCGGGACTTCTGAATCGATCCCCAGTCCTACTAACCTGATCGTTTAAGTCGAGGTTTGAGAATCCGGGCACAGATTTGGCGAATTCGGTCAGTTCGGTGACGGTCTCGACTGAAGTGCACTGGCAGCAGTGGAATATGCGCACCTCAGGGTCTTTGTTCAGCAGACCTCCGCAAGAGCCCATCATCTTGGCCACAAACGTCTGTTCTGCCAGCTGAAGAGTCTCCATGTCATGGATCACAAAGGGCTGAAAAACAACAGACAAATGTTTGCCTTTAGCTGCAAAAACACACAAAATAATAAGAATTATACAAGCATATATGTGATAAAAAGGTTTTTCATAAATAATATTAAAGGAGTGGTCCAAAGTGTATTTTAGGGCTTGGTTGTGTTTATGAGATGCAAAGCATTGTGTGCTCATGCTTCATTTGCTTTGTCATATATCTTATATATTACTATATACAGCTACTCAGGGCAACGCAGTGACGAAATGGGTAGTGATTTTGCCTCACAGCAAGAAAGTCGCTGGTTCGAGCCTCGCCTGGGACAGTTGGCATTTCTGTATGGAGTGTGCATGTTCTCGCCGTGTTTGCGTGGGTTTACTCCGGGTTTTCCTTCCATTACTTGAAAACACTCATTTTACACCCAGACAGTTTATTTCATCAAATCCCCAATACACGTGTGTTTGGACTGTAGTGATGGGTCGTTTATGAACGATTCGTTCTTTTTGAACGAATCTTCAATATGACTCGGGAACTACGAGTCCTCTCAGGGAGTGATTCGTTCATCCGTGCGTGTGCACATTTGTGCAGGTAGTATCGTCAGTTTCAAGTCTTCATCACATTGGCAGAAGCCAATCATATGCGTTCAAAGCCAAAAAAAGAATTGATCCGCTCACCTCTCGAGTCCTCTATCGGGTCTGAGTCACTCGTTCATCACGAGCCAATCATACACGTTTAGAGCCGTAAAAAGTTTTGATCCGTTCATCTCTCGAGTCCTCTATCGGGTCTGAGTCATTCGTTCATCACGGGCCAATCATATGCGTTTAGAGCCGTAAAAAGTTTTGATCCGTTCATCTCTCGAGTCCTCTATCGGGTCTGAGTCATTCGTTCATCACGGACCAATCATATGCGTTTAGAGCCGGAAAAAGAATTGAACCGTTCATCTCTCGAGTCCTCGGGTTTGAGTCATTCTGTCACGTAAACAACGAATGATCATGGCTCCTATCGGCTTAGACTGTGCATTGATTAAGATTATATGTGACTGTCAGTGTAACGTGAATAAACCGCTGACATTTGAAGACATGAAGAGATGAGCTGAGCAAAGAGACAAAAATGCCTTCATAGACAAAAGAGCAGGGGCCTCACGACGAAGACTTGCGTGGAAATCTTACTAAAACATTGCGTACGCACAAAGCTGTAAATGTACGTACGCAGAAAAAAATTCAGATGTATGAAACACTGCGTACGCCGACTCTCACGCATATTCTTTTGTACATCCGAATGAACGTGAAACTGAGCGCAACATGCACGAGCACAAAACCCCACAAAACCCCTCCCTGCCTCCTCCCCCGTATGAATATGCTAATGACTATGCTAATGGCAAAACCCAACGAAAAAGCAATGGCAAAAGCAAGCAAAAAGAGAAACTTTGAACAGAATGTGAATTGGAGGTGCTGCTTTCGGAGGTAGATCGGAGAAAAGCGGTGTTATTTGCAAGTTTGTTTTTCGGAATTAACAACAAAAGAAAAAAAATAGAGTGGGAGAGTTAAGCTGATGCGGTTGACACAGTTGGGTCTGAACATCGCACTGAGTGCATTTAAAAAAAAATAGTGTGGTTTATATCTGTAAACTGTTGCAGCACTCTGAACAGTCTCAGTGGCGCAGCTCGTAAGACGCATGTGGTCATGTTTTGACACGTTCAAGCATGAACTCGGCTCAAATCCAGCGTCTGATGAACTCTATCTTCTTTTTTTCCCCCCGCTACATATCATATTTTGCCTACTATTTATCACGAGAAAGACTAGTAGGAATCATTAATAAGTTTGTGCATCATATTTTATTTGCACATTTATTGAATGGAAATGTTTCTGATTCACGCATGCAAATTCATCTACAGATAGTGTCTTTATAGCAATGTGCGTGCAGTAGATCGCTCAGATTACATTGGGAAAACAGGCGACCGCTGCAAATTGTGCTTTAATGTTTAGCTGGTCAACTGTATGGTATGGAAATCTTACATACCTACTAGATAAACCCGTCTCATACAGCTGCCATTGCAAGGCTCAGACACTTTGTAGAGAAGAATTTAACACAACTGCCTCTAGGAGTCGCCAATGGAAATAAAACAGACACGCACAAAAAATGTGCGTACGCCTGCCAAAAAGCTGCCGTGAACCTGCGCACATTCCCACGTTCAGTTCATTGTTAGTAAATCCAAACGTGAGCGATTCTGAGCGTGAAACCTGGCGTACGCAAAGTTTTTGTGCGTACGCAGCGTTGATACATGAGGCCCCAGGTAAACATTGAATTATTATTTTCTCCTTATATTCTACTTATGACTTATTTGTCGTGTGATCAACCTTTTGGGCTGGTTGTAGATGTGTTTGGAAGCAATTCGTAACATTTCAATAATATTTTTACAAATTGAACCAAATGAGCGAAATGACTTGAAAAAAAGATTCGTTCATCTTGATGAACGAGACTCAAAGATCACTATTGGACTGTGGGGGAAACCGGAGCACCCAGAGAAAACCCACGCCAACACTGGGAAAACTAGCAAACTCCACACAGAAATACCAAGTGGCCCAGCTGGGACTTGAACCAGCCACCTTCTTGTAATGATGCGACAGTGCTAACCACTGAGATACCGTGCCGCATAATATTTATATTATAAACGTAATTTTATTGTTTCATATTCCACCATCTTGTGTGTTTTATACATATTTCCTCTATTATTATACACAGAGAGACATTACATAACACACAACCTGAAAGGCTCAGTTCCAAACAAACACAAAACTCAGGTCGGCTCCATCAGAGAGGTCAGATTGACACCGCATGAGCCTCGACCAGGCCATGAGAGAACAAACACTCTTCATCAGATGAAAGTCTCTCCTGAAATCCCCCCCAGCAGCTGGAGTTTGTCCCACAATCACAGATGCATGAGGAGAAACACAGCCTTACTGATGACACCCAAACAACCCGAAACCCCCATCCCATGACCTCTGTGTGCTATCAATCAACCCAGGCTCATTCTGAAAACGTAGGCCTGTGGATGTTTCTGAAGACCGTGAATTATGTAGTCGGAGGTACGTATGGCTGCATTTCATTTTTTGAAGCGAACGCTGTTTGACGCTGTTTCTTTTGCCGCTCACCAGCTGACTGCTTTACCTCCGTGTGGAGGGTTTTCCCGCTGCAACCAGTTTGTCCCGTAAGCTCGTCGTGTACGTCAGCGGACTTGAGACGCAGAGAGGAGTCGACCACGATGACAACGACCGGGTTTGAGTCCGGGGAAGAGCAGTTCCAGAAATCAGGTAAGACAAAACCAGAATCCAAAAAATAAAAATGTGAATAACAGGGTGAGAATGTTGGGAAATCCGAAAACGGGGTAAAAATCAGACGAGGGCTTTTTTTTTTTCTGGACGGCTTTTGTAAATCGCCGGTTGGGTTTAGGGAAGTAAGCGGGTGGGCGAGTCAATCGGTAAAATTGGTTGGGTTTAGGGAAGGAGAAAGGTGGGTCAGTTGATTGGCTGGTGGCCCAATTGGTCATTCAGTCACTCAGACATACAGTCGGTCGACAGCAGCCTCTGGTGGGTTTATGCGAGAACAGTGGGCGCAAACGGCACTCGCAAGAGAAATTTGAAATGCGAAAAAACGCACACAGTGGCCTCTCGTGGATTCGCAAAAACAAAAAACCTACATATTTTGCAGTCTCCAGAAACATCCTCAGGGCTACGTTTTCAGAATGAGCCTGGGTTGCTATCAAGTGTCTACAGTAAAAGACTTCAGCTTTATTGACGGGCATTGCAGGGTCAACTTTATTCGGTTTTGTTTGTGTAATACATGCTTCAGTGAATCACATTTATGTATATAGTTAAAATACGTCCACTTTATTATCAAAACCATAGTTAAGATTTCAGTGTTTTGAGGGATGCTTAGTCTACTCTGCCCTACAGTATCCTCTGACTAGCTATTTTAGAAGTTACTGTAGGTCAGATTATACACACTATCCATCTAATTTGACTTTAAGGCTGTATGTAGAAACAAACTATTTATAAACTCCTATTTAATGAGAAAACAGTCTTTTGTACACTTACGATGTCTATCGTTGGTCCACATCTGCAGTTTCAGACTGCTGAATGGATATTTCCCTGCATAGACTGATTGGCGCGAACTAAAATAACTAGTAATGCCACAAGCTACTAGGTGTTAGGTTGTCTCCAGGTGTTACAAACCCCTGATGTTAGTCTAGGGTTGTGGGGTTTGACATTTATTTAATTAAAATATATTTATATAAACAGTGAATGAGTGGAAAGACAACCAAAGTAATGCCAAAATATGTGTGTTTTTATTTACTATCCCAAAGTGAACAACAACAACGAATTAATCAAAAATAAAGAAAAAGTAAGTAAGGCAAAAATATACTATTTACAATATGTACAACACTGAGACAAATAAAGACGGAAAAAACAAGAGAGCTGGCAGAAGGGACGCGGGCGGCGCTAAAGAAATGAAAAGAACAAAAACCCAAACTAAATCTAACTTCCCAGAAGCATCTAGCTAACTAACTATGTGAAAAACAGTATAATTAACACACGAAGATCTTCCGAGTCCTAACTATCTACTCTATCTATCTATCCAAAAAGTACAAGGAGTGGCGCTCGCCCCTAACCTAGTGTACTAGACAGCAGAGTAGTCCTATGTGTTGCGAAATGTATGTCACGTGACCTTCTTACCTGTCCGATTCGTCCAAGCCTCGTAAACAACGATAAACTAAGAACAATGTACGAATAACGGACGGATAACGTGCACACAGAACAAGCAACAACAAAATACACAGTTAGACAGGGTTATTTCTAAACGCACGCGGTAAATACAAACAAGCGACAAAACAGCGAAAGAGAAAAATGCAAGCACGAAAAAACGAGTGGTCTGGCGCGCGCTTTTAACACGGGAGGTTTTTGCTCATTGGATGTGACGTAAGAGTGACGTAACCGGGGAGGAATGACTGACAGCGGAATGGACCAATGAACGGAACCTGAGAATACATGAGAGCAGATATGGGAGAACAGAGCGATAGAGAGAGAGGGAAAAAAAAACACAGAGAAACAGAGCACAAAAAACACAAATACATAACACCAGGCAATTGCTAAAGTGTTTTCGGGGGTTGCTGGCAGCTAGCTCTCTGCAACTCTCACATGGTCGCCCACTGAAGCTAAGCAGGGCTGCGCCCGGTCAGTTCCTGGATGGGAGACCACATGGGAAAGCTATGTTGCTGCCGGAAGTGGTGTTAGTGAGGCCAGCAGGGGGCGCCCAACCTGCGGTCTGTGTGGGTCCTAATGCCCCAGTATAGTGACGCTGTCTTTCGGATGAGATGTTGAACCGAGGTCCTGACTTTTTGTGGTCGTTAAAAATCCCTCTTTTGAAAAAGAGTGGGGGTTTCACCCCGGCATCCTGGCCAAATTTGCCCATTGGCCTCGGTCCATCATGGCCTCCTAACCCTCCCCATATCATAATTGGCTTCATCACTCTGTCTCCTCTCCACCAATCAGCTGGTGTGCGGTCTGGCGCAAAATGGCTGCCGTCACATCATCCAGGTGGATGCTGCACACTGGTGGTGGATGAGTCCCCCCCCCCCCCCCCATTGTGGGAAGCGCTTTGAGTGCCCAGAAAAGCGCTAAATAAATGTAAGGAATTATTATTATTAATGCTAGGGTATGCTGGAGGTGGTTAAGTGCTTACTATTCAATGACAAGGAGTACTTAATAGGCAGAGGCATCTTACCGGCGTGCTTGTCTTTCCCGTCAGGATGGTTCGTGCTTTGGATTTGTTCATGTTGAAGTTCTTGACGTAGGCCTCATAGATCTGCTTGGCCAGGGTTTTCTGATCATCTTTGACATCTCGTTCTCCTGTCAGGATCTCTGCCTTCAACCTTAGCTTCTCCGACTGTGGCATTCGCCCAAAACGGATGGCTGTTTGAGGTGTGGAAATAAAAGTCATAACTTTTAGACAATTTCCAGACAAACATCATCCCATGCACGAAAAGGCTGATTTCTGACTTGCCTTACAAGTGTTTGCATTAATATGTGGATATAATCTGACATTAGTAACATCCTGACAGGATTCCAAGAGTCTGAACGACATAAACAGTGTTTTGGCTGAATGCTGTGCGACTTACTTGGCAATAATGTTATTTTTGTTCAATATCCCTATTGTTCTTTTGATGCAAGTGCGGATAACACAAAAGCTGACTGAAGTTGCGTCTGTAAACCTTTACTCTGCGGATTCTCTTGCAAAACCACCACATGCGCTGCTGATCACAGATGATTAATATTTGCTGAAATCCAAGGCCACTATTTACACATTTTGTCAGATCAGGATGTCTGGTGCCTCAGAAACTTGCCCAGAGGAATTGGGTAACACAAGTTTCACTCTGGACCGTGTTCAATTGCAGTTTCGTGTTGTCAATAGACAGGCGGCGTTGTGTTTTTTTTAACATTACAGAAATTACTATCATTTGCCCATGCAAGACTTAATTTCATGACACTGATGTGTTACTACACAGTTGCTAAGGTGCTAGGGTTTCAACATAATTTTATGGCCTTCCCTATAGGCATGACTCTCGATTTGGGTGTGAAAGGTCTTGAGTTCAAATCCCGGACGAGTCCCCATTTGTGTTTTTTACTGTCTCTATTGCCAAGAGCATATAGTGCACTTAGATGTGGACATCTTTTGAAGTCAAAATGCAATCCTAATATTGTCCAGTATGCACTTCTAGAGATATTGGCAATTGGGTCTGAGAGGTTCTGGGTTCAAATCCCGGACGAGCCCCCGTTTGTGTTTTTTACTGTCTCTATTGTCAAGAGCATATAGTGCACTTAGATGTGGACATCTTTATAAGCTAAATTACAACCTAATATTTTGTACTAGGGATAGGATTCTTGCACTGAATGTGATAAGTCCTGGGTTTAAATACCAGACGACCGCTATTTGTGATTTTTATCGTCTAAAACCATATTTTTACCATCTTGTCAGTAGTATATAGTGCTTTTAGAAGCAAAAATGCAATCCTAATATTATACAGTATGCACTTTTCTAGGCATGTGATTCTTGCATTGGGTGCAAAAGGTCATGGGTTCGAATCCCGGACGAGCCCCCATTTATGTTTTTTATTTTATTTTTATGTCTTTATTGTCAATTGCATGTAGTGCACCTAGATGCAGACGTCTTCAGAAGTCAAAATACCATTGTAATTTTATCCAGTGTGAAGTTTTTAAGGGGTTTTATTCTTGCATTTGGATGTGAGAGGCCCTTTGTTCAAATCCTGGACGAGCCCTCAGTTGTTTTTTGTCACTGTCTATATTGTCAGTAGCATATAGTGCACTTAGATGCACACAATTTTTATTAGTCAAAATGCAATATTATTATTAAACACTTTTTCTAGGGACATGATTCATGCTTTTAATGCATGAAGTTCTTGGTTTACATCCTGGACGAGCCCCTATTTGTGTTTTTTATGGCTCTTTTGTTGGGAGCATGTAGTTCTCTCAGATGTGGACATTTTTTAGATGTTAAAATACAACCATAATATTATGTACTTCTCTAGGAATAGGATTATCGCACTGGATGTGAGAGGCTCTGGGTTCAAATCCCGGACGAGCCCCCATTTGTGTTTTTTTTTATTATTGTTAATAGCATATAGTGCACCTAGATGCAGAAATCTTCAGTAGTCAAAATGCAATCCTAATTTTAGCCAGTATGCACTTTTTTGGGGTTAAAATTCTTGCATTAGATACGCGAGGCCGTTAGTTCAAATCCTAGAAAAGCCCTCATTTGTTTTTTTGTCACTGTCTATATTGTCAATAGCATACAGTGCACTTAGATGCACACATCTTTATCAGCCAAACTGCAATATTAATAGAAAACACTTTTTTTAGGGATTTGATTCATGCTTTTAATGCGTGAAGTCCTTTGTTTAAATCCCGGATGAGCCCCTATTTGTGTTTTTTACTGTATCTTTTTTTGAGAGCATATAGTGTTCTCAGATGTGGACATTTGTAGAAGTTGAAATACAATCCTAATATTATGCACGTCTCTAGGAATAGGATTATTGCCCTGGATGCAAAAGGTCCTGGGTTCAAATCCCGGACGAGCCTCCATTTGTGTGTTGTTTTTTTTTAATAGCATATAGTGCACCTAGATGCAGAAATCTTCAGTAGTCAAAATGCAATCCTGACTTTAGACAGTATGCACTTTTTTAGGGGTAAAATTATTGCATTAGATACACTAGGCCCTTAGTTCAAATCCTAGATAAGCCCGCATTTTTATTTTTATTTATTTATTTATTTATTTTTTTATGTTTTTTGGGCATTTGTAGATGTTGAAATACAATCCTAATATTATGCACGTCTCTAGGAATAGGATTATTGCCCTGGATGCAAATAGTCCTGGGTTCAAATCCCGGACGAGCCCCCATTTGTGTTTTTTACAGTCTTTGTTGTCATTAGCATTTAGTGCACCTAGATCTTCAGAGGCCCTTTGTTTAAATCCAGGATAAGCCCTTTGTTTGTTTTTAGTTACTGTCTATATTGTCCTATAGTGTATATGTATCAGCCAAAATGCAATATTAACATAAACACCTTTTCTGGGGATTTGATTCATGCATTTAATGCATAAAGTCTTTGGATCAAATCCCGGACGAGCCCCCTTTATGTTTTACTGACTCCGCTGTAAGTAGGTGCTGACATCTTTAGACGCTGAAATGCAATCCTAACGCAGACGCCACAATCCCTATCAGTTAATAAGCTTACAGTCCTGGCCTGTAAACCTCCAGTGCACGCATGCCAATACTAATCTCTTTGTAGCACCCATGTTTAATTGCAGTTAAACAACTAATCACGCTTATTAGATAACCTCCGCTTTAATTGAAGCCCTCCATTCAGAAACCTGTCAGAATTACAATCCATTTCATTTCAATTAATTTAATAAGCTGTTGAACATGAAGACAGGAGAGGTGGTTTTAACTTTCAGTGGGATGAGCAAGTGTGAAGCAGATGCCTATACGTAAAGTGAGCATCCAATTGCATTGGTGTATATATATCAGCTTACGGTGTATGTCATGCTCAAAGATAAACTGCTTAAATAATGAACAAAAGTGGAACATCTAATCTCTGTTTCTTTAAAAACACAAGTCTCTCTCTCCCCAAACACAAATTATTCCGATTTTTCCATTAAAAGGACCATAAAGCGGCTAAGTTTAGCAGCTAACCTACATTTCTGTGAGTAATGGGGTTAGTGTGGTCACGTCTCGCAGTGTTTTCAAGTGTCGCTGGTTCAGATTACGAACTTCGAGCATAGCACGATTTCAGCACATGCCTTCATCAGGCAAAAAAAAACTATGCAAGACGAGCAGTTCAGCCAGCTGGATGTGTTACTGGGCCTTGTAAAAAATGCCTTTTGGCCCCAAGCTGGACACCTTGAACCCTAACATATACATACATAGACTTCCATTGTTTTTCTCTCAGTGTAATGATAGTGTCTATGGCCTAACCCTAGCCCTAACCTTAACCCTAAACCAACTGTGCATTTCAAATAATCAAACCATCATTAACCAAAATAAAATATAAAACATTACACATTGTAAATCAGCTCATTTTCAATTAGTTTCATTTATTTAAAAGTATTACAGACATTTTTAAAAAAGATACAACTAAACCTAACCCTTATCCTAACTGAAGGAAATCAATGCACAGATAATTCAAAGACAAAGAGACACCCAAATTGTTTAGTTCATGTGATTATGCAAAAATAAATAAATAAATCACAGGAGGGCGAAAAATTCTGACTTTAACTGTGCAGCATATTATTGTTCAAGCAATGTCTCAACTCTTTTTAATATCTTTTTAATGAACACATAAATAAATGTAAATGTAACATAAATAAATGTAAATGTAAATTAAAATGTAAGTATCATGGGTTCAATTCCCAATCCCCGTCAATGGACGTTGCTTTGGATAGGTGTGTTTGCTAAATGCATAAATAAAATGAAATACTGCATTCTCAGTCTCTGATTTGTGTTTTCAGATTTAATCAATGCAAATGCTGAGAATGTGTTGACAAAACACAACAGTGTTGTAGCAGTTCATACTACTAATGTAATTCAATTTGCCTAAAGCTATAGACAAGAAATTACAAAGAAAAAAAACCATCCTGTTTATAGATGCAATTACGCTAAAATTGTCTTGCATTTTGTCTCAAAATGTTTTAACAATGTTGAAAATCAAGAAATGATGCAAACTTATTTATAAATTGTGTTCTAAATATTTTACTATTATTAAAATACATAAATGTATTCTTGTTAACGTTTTCCATTGTTTGAGTTAAAAAATGTACACATTAAGGATTAATATGTAGTTGTCATGCATTATTTGTAATTTTAATATCTAATAGCTTGTCTAATAAGGCTTGTATAATAGATTGTTTGTGAAACATGTAGAAATATTTTTACGAAAATATTTTACTACTTTTTTTGGCATGGAAAAAGAAAAGGACTTAATGTTTACTGTAATCTGTTAATGCATTTCCAACTTCGAATCAAATAATGTAAATTATGAGCACATCAGGGCATTGACTCAAGTTTCATCTCCTGTATGTTACGTGTAAATAAATACAAAGATGACAGATACGCTGCAGTTCACCAAATGGCCACCAGTGTCGCTAAAAACAAGAACTTCTGCATTATAAAAAATATAAAGTGCTAAAGTTACCACTTGTAAACCACTCTTGTAAACTTAAAAATGTAAAATCAAACATCGGTTAACGTTATCCCGATGATTGGTCAACGGAAAAATATTAACTTTTTTTGTTTGGATCACAAACTAGCTAGCTTATATGAGAAACAACTATGATCAGGGTGCGATCATCTGATCAGGGGTCAGCTTTTTCGGTAATGTTAGTTAAATACAAACTTCAATGGATCAATTGTATGTATTTATTTAAATACATCTAATTTATTAATAAAAATGTATACAACTTTTCAGTGTTTTGTGCGATATTTAGTGTATTCTGACATACAGTATCTTTGATTAGCTATTTGTAGGTCAAACTCTACAAACACAGCAGGTAATTTGATTTTAATTTTAGGATATATGTAGAAACAAACACTTATTTTATAAGAAAACATTCTTGTGAACAATTACGGAGTCTATCGGTGCTCAAGATCTCCCACTTTCAGAGTGTTGATTTTTTTTGTTGTCTTCTTTCGCATAGACTAACTGGTGCGATTATGCATTCACAATAGTATGAACCGTTATAGATATAAATATAAATAACTATAAATATAAATGTATATTTATAGTCTCTATTATTCATTCATTCATTTTCTTTTCGGCTTAGTCCCTTTATCAATCCGGGGTCGCCACAGCGGAATGAACCACCAACTTATCCAGCACTTGTTTTACTCTATGCCCTTCCAGCCGCAACCCATCTCTGGGAAACATCCACACACACTCATACATACTACAGACAATTTAGCCTACCCAATTCACCTGTACCGCATGTCTTTGGACTGTGGGGGAAACCGGAGCACCCGGAGGAAATCCACGCGTATGCAGGGAGAACATGCCAATTCCACACAGAAACACCAACTGAGCCGAGGCTTGAACCAGCGACCTTCTTGCTGTGAGGCGACAGCACTACCTACTGCACCACTGCGTCGCCAGTATCTATTATTAACATTAATATTTAAAATACAGATCAGAGCGAAATATTTCTCACTATTGAAGGACTGACCTCCACATACATCTTGTTTTGACGTCCTTCAGGGTGGATCAATTCACCCTAAAAACCCTGCTGTAACTATACCACCCTGACTATGATCCCGTTGGGACTGTTTTCTGTGTCTGTTTCGCGCTGTGAATGAACACTCACCATTGTGGGACATGCCCACGGACAGGCACTTCTGAAATCGACAGTATTGGCACTTGTTTCGGTTCTTCTTTTGGATCTTACAGCGGCGTTCACACTTATCGTACTCCAGTTTGAGCCGAATGGTCCGACGGAAGAAACCCTAAAAATGTGAAAAACAGAAGTGTTACTACACAGTTGCTAAGGTGCTATGGTTTCAACACAATATCATGGCCTCTCCTAGGGGGATGACTCTCGATTTGGGTTCAAATCCCGGACGAGCCCCCGTTTGTGTTTTTTACTGTCTCTATTGTTGATAGCATAAAGTGCAATTAGATGTGGACATCTTTACCAGCTAAACTAGAATCCTAATATTATGCACTTTTTTTAGGGATAGGATTCTTGCATTGAATGCAATTAGCCCTGGGTTCGAATCTCAGATGGGACCTGATTTGTGTTTTTTACTGTTTATATTGTCAATTATTATATAGTGCTAGTAGATGCAAACATCTTTAGAAGACAATCCTAATATGATCCAGTATGCACTTTACTGGTAAAATGATTCTTGGAACGGGCCTGAGAGGTCTTAGGTTCAAATCCCGGACGACCATTTGTGTTTTTAACATTCTCTATTGAAATTCAGTTTGAGGTCACTCTTAACACCACAAACCAGCACAGATCAGTGTAAGGTCAACGCTTGCTTTAAATATCTGTACTGTTCTGTACTGTACTGCTCTATTTGAAGCTCACTATTAAAAGAGGCAGAAATTTATGTACACAATCTAAACCAGGCGCTGCTGGAAATAGCCCTGGCAGCATATTGGCAGGTTGTGTTTGTCCTCATTCGTCCTCGGGTTCGTCTGGGTTTCCGATTGTAAAAACGCTGCTTCTCACTTCCAGAGGAGGCGACAGAGAGACAAAATAGGAATGAGGTTTAGTCGAAACCAGTCTTAACTTTAAGCATGTTCAGCATCTTCATTCATTCGTTAAGTTTCCTTCCACAGAGGAATAAACCATGACTATTCCAACGTGTGTTTTACACAATGGATGCCCTTCCAGCTGCAACCCATTGCTGGGAAACACCCATTTACTCTGACGTCACTATGGCCAATTTAGATCATCCAATTCCCCTGTAGCGCATGTGTTTGGACTGTGGGGGAAACTCCACACCGAATTGCCAACTGGCCCAATCGGGACTCGAAACAAAGTGTTTCTCGCTGTGAGGTGACAGTGCTAACCATTGAGCCAACGTGCCACCCATATTCAGCAACTTAAAACATCCTAAATGATCTTAAATGAACTAAAAGGCAATAAACCCCCTCCTGAACCCGTATAAGCCCTCAGCTCATCGTTTCTCTCCTCAATATCAGTATTTCTCAATCTGGCGAAGGATGGAGACGAGACTCAGTGCAGTAAAAACGAATGGCTCTTGCTTCACTCATGTTGAGCCATTGAGAATGAGCCAGAAACACTGCAACATTTCGAAAGGAGAAAAACGAGGAGCAGAGGGCGATTTCAGGACACGAACGCAAGACCTCCAGCTTTAATGAGAAGATTACCACTGACTGAAGACATGGAAGAGCAAGTCTGTTTATTTATTGCCACACCAGCACATTACGGCTATTTCATGGCTAGCTCAATGTGGATAAAATATACAGTAAAAGCCAACTGTGAAAATACTAAATGAAATAAGTTAGATTAAATTGTATTTTTAAACAAAGGTTACTTTGACTCAACAAAAAAAGTTATGCAAACTCATGAACTGATAATATTAAGCAAAACTCGAAATGAACGAGTTCTGAATTAATTGCGAGTAATTAATTTGGACTTCATTCGTTCTTTTAACTGAACTCATACTGACTTGATAAATGAACTTAAAATGATTTACTACTTACTAACACTCTAAAATTTTGGCAAAATAATATATGTAAATTTGGCTCAAAACTTTATTGGATTGTCGGCACCAATAGCCAGGTGTTACTGTAAAGCCTGGTTTATACTTCTGCGTCAAGTGAACGGCGTAACCCACGGCGCATGCAACGCGCGTAGCTGTGCATTTATACTTCTGCGCGTTGTTACTGTTGGTCTGCATTAACACTTTTGAAACGCTAATTGGCAGTGAGGTGTAAATGTTCCTCTGTGTCGAGTTTCTTCGCTGGTGTTTTGTTTATTCTGAACGCTTCCTGAATGTATAAGTGGCTCAAACTCGCTCATTTTGAGGCAGGAACCGGCGGACATGCAACAACTTCAACTATGAGGTAAACACAAAACAAAACTTTTCATCCGAAGCTCCTTCACGGGACTCCACACTTGTAAACAATCGCTTCATCGTGCTCATGCCGCACACGCGGCTCTCGGTCCCGCCCTGACTCGTCAGCACTACCAAGCCAACCAATCACAGAGCTTGCGCTACGTGTCATCGGGCATGTAGTTACATATTTTGAGAGGTGCACGTCAGTGACGCCGATGGCGTAGACTGCGCCGTAGCATACGCGTGCGCTTGACGCAGAAGTATAAATCAGCCTCTCTCTGCATTCCCTTAAAAATAATAATAATAAAAAAAAATTTTAATGGATTGTCACAATTGGTTTCCTCCGATTTATATTGTTTAGTGTCTATATTTATATATAAATGTTTATTTTTATTTGGCTTCAGATTTAATATATAAGATATTTGGCTTCTGGCATAATTTACCACATTTTATTAACATAAAAATAAATAAAAATGACAAAAATTGCCATAAAAAACATTAGACATGATCAATAACCCATCTAGTATTCTTTCAAATTTCCATTTTAATATGTTTTATGGTTGGAGAGGATTGACACTGAAATATTAAAAGAAAAGTATTAAAACTTCTCTTTAAAATCTCTCTAAAATGCTTACAAATTAATATTTTTTTATATACCAATATATGTATTATTAAACCATATTTGCCTATTTTTTATTTATTTTTAAATCAAAGATAGTCCTTAAAAAAAACAGCGGATCTCTGAAGACAACACCCCAAAAATCCCTTTAAAACAATTTCATTTTCACAAACCAATATGCGTAATATTAAACAGCTTTTAGTCTAATTATTTAAAATTATGTTTAATATTTATTTTATTTTAAAATACAATGTAATACTAAAACAGTTATTAATGAATACAAAAGCTCTGAAGACAAATAAAAAAAAAATACTTCAAAATGAATTCATTAAAACCACACAAGGGTCTTTCTGGTCTTTGGTTTAATATAGCTATGAGCCAACAAAAGGAAACTAAACACAGTAATAAAAACACATCCAGCCTTTTGTGTTGCCCCTTCTAACACTATTATGACTAGCGCATCAGTCCGCAGATGTTCCTTCAGACACAAAACATCCTCAATGACCTCTGAAAGACTAGTGTTCTGCTCAGAGCCAATAAAAAGTGTGCAAGAAGATATTCAAAGATATTCTGTGTAAAAAAGCATCTGTACTTCATAGATATACACCAGGCCCGGATTGGCTAATCGGGAGGACCGGGAGAAGTCCCGGTGGGCCTGTCGGTTTTTTTGCCGCGAGGGCCGGTGTCCCTAGCTCCAGAATCTGTTGCTCTCAGCACAGCAGTCACACTTTTAAAAATAATTTATTTATTTACTTGACCACAGCCTTCTTATTCATTATTTTACCGCAGCTCTGCTCTTTTTATCCATTTTCTCGTAGCCTCGTGAACAATATAAGTAGATAAGATAGATGTAAGCAGATAAGTCACCTCTCAATGTACAGCTGTTGTGGTAAAGTGGTTAGCACGTTAGGTTATGACACCGCCAACCCGGGTTCGGTCCTCGCCTGAGTAACTTTTTTTTTTTTTTCATTTTTATTGTTAAGACATATAATACTGTAAGGGTTGTTGAACATTTGAAGTTCTGAAGCAGCTGTTTTCTCAAAAAAAAGACGTGGTAGTGTAATTAGAAACTGAATTGGAAATGACCTTATTTTAATATAGTCAGTGGTGAACTGAGGTGGGCCGGTCTAAGGCTTGAAACTCCAGGGCTGAAAAAGAGTCCCACTCCGGCCCTGATATACACATGTTTTAAGTAAAATACATCTTCAGCCAAATCTCCTATCTAATCTGTCAATCAACCTGTCAATCATGTGTGATCCACCAATAGCAAACAGCACCAAACCAACCAGCCAATCAGCCACGTGCAGAGACTATCCAAGGGGCATGTGCAGGATTTGACGCGAACCAATAGGGTGAGGGGGTGGGGGCATGTGCACTACACAGGTTGAGCCCTATGGGTGCATGTGCCTGCAGCCAATCAATTACTTGAGAATAAATCAACCCGTCCCCAGAAGCCATTCATTCTGATTTGCATATATATATATATATTATTCAAAGGTTTGCACTTTTTTATAGCACACAATAATTATTTATTTATATATAATTTGTACAAATATTATTTGTATTTTAGTATTATTTGCTGCATTTAATAACTATATTCAGTATTTGATGTTATGCTAATCCATGCACTTATTTATTCAAAGTAATTTTTAATAATATTATAATAATAGTAATTATTATATGATATTATTATTAATAAAAATAGTAGTTTTTGCTTGAACCAGAAGCAATTCACTCAGCTTTAAGTCATAATTAAGAATCAAATATTGTTGCAGCTTCAGTTGTGTGATGCATTCAGATGGCAGAGTAAATAAAATGTATAATCCCTAATAATGGTAAGTTATGCTAATTAATAACCTTAACCTAATCAGAATTACCATAATGTATTGTAAAGCTGCTTTGAAACTATAATTATTGAAAAAAGCGCTATACAAATACACTTTAGTGGAACCGAATTGTAATAATGAATTAATAATAAGCACACTCTTACCTTGCAGCCCTCACATGCATGAACGCCATAGTGGTATCCTGATGCCCGATCCGAACACACACGACACTCCAGATTCAGAGAGGTGGAGGTGAACTCGTCCTGACCCACCGGGCAACCGTACACACCTGACGACGGGCTGGACGCAGGGGTCAGAGCATCTGCACCACAGAACAAAGACACAAAAATAAAACAAGCACACGCTTAAATAATCTAGAACTATTAGCAAGCCGGTGTCATTCAATTAAAAAAAAGTTGCCCCACTTCTAATGATCGAGAAAATAAGAAGTCGGTCATTCATTTGTTTTTGTTTTTTTGAATTACGCTTATTTAAGTGTGTACATTTGTTTCGATGGACATGCATAAATGATATACACTCACCGGCCACTTTATTAGGTACACCTTAATAGTACCGGGTTGGACCACCTTTTTCCTTAATGCTTCATGGCATTGATTCAACAAGATACTGGAAATATTTTACTTCATATTGACATGATAGCATCACGCAGATTTGTCGGCTGCACATCCATGATGCCAATCTCCCGTTCCACCACATCCCAAAGCTGCTCTATTGGATTGAGATCTGGCGACTGTGGAGGCCATTTGAGTACAGTGAACTCATTGTCATGTTCAAGAAACCAGATTCATTAACGCTTTATAACATGGTGCATTATCCTGCTGGAAGTAGCCATCAGAAGATGACTGTGGTCATAAAGGGATGGACATGGTCAGCAGCAATACTCAGGTAGGCTGTGGCGTTGACACGATGCTCAATTGGTGCTGCTAATGGTCCCAAAGTGTGGTCTTCTGCTGCTGTAGCCCATCCGTCTCAAGGTTGGACGTGTTGTGTGTACAGAGATGCTCTTCTGCAGAGCTCGGTTGTAACGAGTGCTTATTTGAGTCACTGTTGCCTTTCTATCACCTGGAACCAGTCTGGCCATTCTCCTCTGACCTCATCAGCAAGGCATTTGTGCCCACAGAACTGCCGCTCACTGGATATTTCCTCTTTGTTAGACCATTCTCTGTACACCCTAGAGATGGTTGTGCGTGAAAATCCCAGTAGATCAGCAGTTTCTGAAATACTCAGAGCAGCTGTCTGGCACCAGCAACCATGCCACGTTAAAAGTCACCTTTAATCCCCATTCTGATGCTCAGTTTGAACTGCAGCAGATCGTCTTGACCATGCCTAAATGCATTGAGTTGCTGCCATGTGATTGTCTGATTAGAAATTTGCGTTAACGAGCAGTTGGACAGGTGTACCTAATAAAGTGGCCAGTGAGTGTAGTAAAAAATACGCTCTTAAGTAAAAAAAAAAAAAAGTTCTTGAGAAATATGTCATTCAGCAAAACAAATGTTCACACAAAAAATGATCTAGAATGTGATTACCAATGTCAGGGTCATTCAACATAAGTAATCTAGAACCCGATCTCATATAGATCCACCTATAGACATGCACGCACACACGCAGAGAGAGAATTCCAGAAATAAAAGTTGCTATAGTCATCTCCTAATTACTAAAATACCACAAAGTCTTCGCATTTCAGCCAAAACATTAAGCCTAAGCTGCTTTTAGAAACCTGCTCAGCTACAGCAAAACAAAACCTTTCCATGATGTCATTTCCTCCTTCATACAGTTTCAACCTCAACCGTCCTCATCATCATTATGGTTAGTTATTAAATGGTGAAAGATTGAGAGATTCTGAAATCTCCACTGGTCTTGAGGTTTGTTTATTTGTATTAATGCAAATTCATATAGACTCCATTCAGCTTCTAGAGACGAAGACTAGGCCAGACATTCCTGAAGCATGAACCACAGATGACCAGTCGAAAACGTCACCGCCGCTCAACCACGAGGTGTAAAGGTCAGACGTGGAGAGTGATACTCAACTATCTGCACGTACATTAAGACTGAAACCTCTTGTGAATATGCACTGAAGAAACCGAAAAACCTGTCTGATGCTTCATAAATATGCAATTATATTGATGTTTTCTTCCTTCTGAGCATGAAACAATAACTATTTAATATAATAAATACCCTGATTACCATGATTTACTAAACTAAACATCAACTAAAATATCATTTTTCAATAGTTTATATTGCAAAAGTCAAAATAACTGCTGTTTATTTTATGTTTATACGGACAGACAATATCACATTAATGACGACACTTCAATCTTAAATGCTGTCTATGTGTACTGTATGTCAGGGGTGGCCAACCCTGCTCCTGGAGAGCCACCTTTCTGCTGATTTCAGTTGCAACCCATATCAAACACACCTGCCTGTAATTATCAGGTGGTGTTCAGGTCCTAATTATTTGGTTCAGGTGTGTTTGATATGGGTTGCAACCATAGATATATACATTAGATGTCGCCTTGCCTATTGTTGTCTATTGGACGGAATGCGTCAATAGCGCCGCCATCTTGGTACAGGGTAGCGCTCCTTTGAAATGAATGCGGGACCAAGGTACAGTGGAGGGCTATGGGCATCCAAAGCCAGAGATATACACATATACACATATATCTGTGATCGGGAGTTTTCCTGGATGTTAGTGTGTAATTTTTTTTTTCTAATTACGAAAATTTTAATTTTACATCACTTTTCTACATTGATGGATCAGTGACCGCACGGGCATTCCTGATAAAAAGCTTGTGTTTGTGTGTACAGAAATGTTCTATTCACCCTCCCTGTTAAATTTGATCTAATCATGTCCTGAAACACAGCTCCTCTCCTGCTTTCACCTCTCATACTGACGGAGGGAGCGATTCGTTTGTGAATGAATCCCCCGACGACTCCTTCACTAACGTTAGCCGACAATAATAAAGTTTCTGGCAGCGCAGCATCTCGTTGTCATATTTCTTTTGCATTGTTTGCTGATTTTATTCAACAAAACTAGCATAAGCCGAGTGTTTAGTGCGAGTTGGAGCTGCTTTGCCGTATGGTGAATGCTGTAAGTGACTGTTATCATCAATAACGTGACCTGATTAGCACAAAAGTTCAGAACATACAAAAACAGAAAAAAACTTAATATTACCTATGAAATGTTCTGCCTTTGTGCTTTGTTGTCTTTGTTTGCTTGTTACTACACCGTAGACAGCGCTAAAGTCCTGCATCTTCACGTAATAACACTGTCTTGACTAGTGCGGTTGAATGACGTTTGTCCTGGGAGCACTGTACAAATATGGCGGCGCTATTGACGCATGCTCAGGGTCCCTATGCGATATCTAGTGTATATATCTATGGGTTGCAACTGAAATCTGCAGGAAGGTGGTTCTCCAGGAACAGGCTTGCTGTATGTGCTTCCCACACAGACTTTACATGGGCGGGCCGCCCCGGTATATTACCTGGTGCCTCGCACTCAAATCTTAAAACACAGAAGCAAAATGTGTGTATTTGCGTGTGAGCATCTGCGTACCCAGCACGGTGGAGCTCTCGGATCCAGAGCCCAGACCGGACTGGTTCTCGGTCATCTCGAAGCTGCTGAGAGCGTCTTCATCCATGGACTGAGAGATGTCCCGCAGCTCCTCCATTCCCCTGACGAACAGCGCACTGTCCAGCACAGAGTCGTCCAGCGGAGACGGAGGACGGTAGCGATTCTCCATGTCTACCATGCTGGCGGACAGGGGCCGGGCGCCAGTCACACATCAGCCTGACAAAGAGATTTCAAGCATTAATGGAGTAAAATCTCTGAGGAATATTTCCAGTACACTGCTGAATCTATGCCACGAAGGATTAAGGCAGATCTGAAGGCAAAAGGAGGTTTACCCTGGTACTAGTAAGGTGTACCTAATAAAGTGGCCAATGAGTGTATTATGTTAGTCAAGAGACTTAATGAACTTTCTTTTGTCATGTTAAGTAGGTTTTTTTAATGTCTATTTGGCCTCTATTTATTTTAATAAGTTTTTAAGCATACATTGAAATGTAATTTTAGCGTTAATACAAGTTCCAACTAACCAAAAATGACTTGTATTTGCTGTAGCTTTAGATAAGATAAACGACAGACACTCAGTTTTTCAAACCACAAAACCTATAAATCCAAGTATCATCTCGTTTAAATCAATTTGACTGACGCACAACTAATCATATCTTGTCCTGCAAAGGCTCTGGGTCGTCTTTCATCCCTTGCAATATTTGTTATCAGCAGTAAATATGGTTAAGTTCACCCAGAATAGCCTTATCTAAGCGTCTGTGCTGCGTCTGTCTGACACAGAAAGAAAATTAGGGAACAAAACAGGCCGGCTAAACCTGCAAGCCAAAAAGAGACTTAGTAAATATCTAATAGGTGTAAAGCTTCATTATCCGCATACCGCTAGCTCTATTTTGAGCATTCACCACACGATACAAGTGAGAGCTACTACCAGGGGCGAAAACTCAGCCCTGGCACTGTAGCCACACAAATTACCACACCGACACACGCACATTCACTATTTATTTTGGTGTACAGATGGTGTAATAAAATGACATTCTTAACAAATTTTGATTATGTCCAGGTAACCTCGGATTGGGTCGGCCGATCTTGAAACCAGGCGGCAAGTGCCGATTGGGCCAAATGCTTAACATTTATTATTATTATTATTTTTATTATCATCATCATAATAGCATCTAGCAAGAGATAAAAGCTGTCTGCACTTAAAAACAATACATATTTAAAAAAAAAACAAAAAAAAACTCGCCGGCCCACATTTAAAAATTTAAATGCACATTTAAAAAGTGTCTACTACATCACATGACCATTAAGAGGGTTAATATACATGTTTGTTTGTTTTTTTCTGGGCAAAAACATTTATCATATATTTTTACCCTGTATATTTAGTACTGTGCATTTCTCTAACAAAGTATTTAACATTTTATAAAACAGAGAGTGTATGATGTTGAGAGACCCGAAACACTCAATGATCCCAGGATACATCACTGATGATGTGTCCCAAATGCATCCATGAGATGTTTCTTGCATAAAAAAAAAACAGAGAGAAATTTTTTTTAACACATTTCTAATCATAATAGTTTTAAAAACTCATTTCTAATATGATTTATTTTATCTTCGACATGATGACAGTAAATAATATTAGACTAGATATTCTTCAAGACACTTCTATACAGCTTAAAGTGACATTTAAAGGCTTAACTAGGTTAATTAGGTTAACTAGGCAGGTTAATTAGGCAAATCATTGTATAACGATGGTTTGTTCTGTCCACTATCAGAAAAAAAAATTAGCTTAAAGGGGCTAATAATTTTGACATTAAAATGGCTTTTAAAAAAATAAAAACTGCTTTTATTCTAGCCGAAATAAAACAAATGAGACTTTCTCCAGAAGAAAAAATATTGTCAGACATACTGTGAAAATTTCCTTGCTCTGTTAAACATCATTTGGGAAATATTTAAAAAAAAATGATTAAATTAAAAGGGGGGCGGATAATTCAGACTTCAACTGTATAAACACACACACACACACCAAACAGCACTTCAACACTAATTGCTTACATGCATTAAATGAAATTCCGGCAATCTGATGTCCAGCATGTAAGCAGAGCGTGTTGAATGCGTGCCGCTCAATGTTCAACACCTACACACTCTCGTGATGACAAGCTACTAAACACGGCGCACCGGACTGTGCCAGAACACACTGTTCCTGCTGTCCACTCTGAGGCCAGCCAACAGGTCAGAGGTCACGGGCCAAACTCCAGGGCATTTCCAATGTGACCCAGCGGCCGTCTGAAGTTCATGTGTGCTCTATTTATTTATCAGGCGGGACAGTGCAGTGAAATGGCATGTACAGTTCCTAAGGGCCGGTGTTGGGCTCGTTTCCATTCCGGATCAGTGCATGCTCCTAAAACACTTTCCTCACATGCGTAATGTGAGCGTATAAACAGCTGTAATTGTTTATAATGCACATTCATATATGATTTGACGATGTTTCTGCATGGGAAATCTGACATCTAATATTATGTAATTGTTGCAGTTTAGTAATTATTCTAAATTACTGTACACTGTAAAAACAATATATATTAATGAACAGTTTCCTTCTTCTGTGATTCACAAGTGCTTCCCGTTTATTTACGCTTTTGAATTGCATTATGGGACGTTAAGCCCCTGCTCTGGTGACTTTTGGTGTTGGAAATTCAACTCTGCAGTTATAACAAAGTGACTTATCAGCCGATGTTATCACTCGATTAAATGGACGTTATCAGTGGTTATCAGCTGACAGATATGTGCCAGTAGTGGCCTTCTGCGCCTACTGGTAGGCTGAGAAGGCTGTTATCATCCTTCCACATGGTTAATCAGCTACTATTTATTAAATTTACCTTTAATTGTATTTTATTAATGTCTACACCTACCCCAAACACATCACAGTACAGAAACGTAAAACAGTGACAGTAATGATAAACATAATAAAACAGTTACAGTAATGTAAAAACAGATCTGGATCTATTAGTATAGTTGAATTGTAACGCCACACCAGTAGAGGGAGCCCTTGCCCGGCTACCAACTCAGCTCCGCTCCCTCTGCAGTCACTTCCTGTTTGTGCCGTATTTAAGCTCAGGCCATGCTGCCTTGCGAAGTATCCCATGTTAAGTGGTGACGTGTTTGTGACGTATTTAATACTGTTTCCGGGTCCAAGCCGCCATTCATTTGAGTGGAGAAATCATTCGTTTATGATCACGTTTTATTCCTATCACACATTAAAGTTAATTTTATATGAAATCATAGTGTACACAACAATCTCTGAGCTTGCTGCATATCAAATACCAAAAATTTAACAATTTATAAAAAATAATCACTTTCTGGCCATCGGATATTAGGCATGGACATATATGTTGCGATCGTGATTTTCGAAAGCATTAAATCGCTTTATAAACGTTTATTATTACTATTTCATGAGTCTCCCCATTCAGTTGAATAGAGCACTTAGACCTGGAAGCCGCTTCGCTTGACGTCACACTTAACAAGTGGATAAAATGGAGGAACTATGACGTCAATTTGTATGCAAAAACCCGGAAGCGAGTTAGCATTTTAGCAGTTCCGCTTCGCTCGTCCCAAAGTCAATTGGTTTTTTGAATGGGGTTTCAGTAAAATCGCTTAAATAAGGTTTGTGGCGAACACAAACTCAAGATACTTTCATGTTTTGTTCTACGACATAAAACTCATCAGTTACAGCACACTCTTGAATTTTTAAATCGGTTACGCTTCTTTAAAAAGACGGTTGCTATCAAGTTGCTAAATGGGACTACAGGCAGTGTCGGAGACATTATACGTCATCGAGCTGATCTGGTCTGAAGCGCACTCAGCTCGCTTGTGTTGGGCATTTAAATTTGTCTGTAATTTAGGTATTTTTTACAGTCTATGGTATTTTCATGAATAGTGTTTTATAGTTTGTTGTATTATTCTAATTGGGAATTCAGATGTGACTGTATGGGCTACTTTTCGCTGTACTTCGTGACAAAAAAAAGGAATATTGAATGTTGCTCTGTTTCCATGATGATGGAACTTTGATAGACTTGTTCCTCCTCACGCCTCTTTTCTGTCGTCTGTTAAGGTACGCAGGCTGTGTGCACGTGAGCGATACACTTATTTAAACATGTCTGATTATAATACTGTAGGCAGATTTATACACACAGTTTTAAAACTTTTAGAACAACCGTAAAGCAAAACAGACGTATTTCCCACGTAAAAACGATCCAAAAGGCACATAGGTCTATGTGTGTTTGCGTATTTATTTGTTTATTTTATATAGCGTGGATTATAATCAGGGCTGGCGCGTCCATAGAGGCGACCTAGGCGGCTGCCTAGGTCAGCAGAATAGAGAGAGCGGCGTCCGCCACACTACCCTCACCACCCGCGCCCTCAGTTATATCCGCGTCCCTGACACTACCCTCACCACTCGCGCCCTCAGTTATATCCGCGTCCCTGACACTACCCTCACCACCCGCGTCCCTGACACTACCCTCACCACCCACGCCCTCAGTTATATCCGCGTCCCTGACACTACCCTCACCACCCGCGCCCCTGACACTACCCTCACCACCCACGCCCTCAGTTATATCCGCATCTAGGGTGGCAGAATAGAGACGGCGGCGTCCGCGACACTACCCTTACCACCGCGCCCTCAGTTATATCCGCGTCCCTGACACTACCCTCACCACTCGCGCCCTCAGTTATATCCACGTCCCTGACACTACCCTCACCACCCGCGCCCCTGACACTACCCTCACCACCCGCGCCCTCAGTTATATCCGCGTCCCTGACACTACCCTCACCACCCACGCCCTCAGTTATATCCGCATCTAGGGTGGCAGAATAGAGACGGCGGCGTCCGCGACACTACCCTTACCACCGCGCCCTCAGTTATATCCGCGTCCCTGACACTACCCTCACCACACGCGCCCTCAGTTATATCCGTGTCCCTGACACTACCCTCACCACCCGCGCCCTCAGTTATATCCGCGTCCCTGACACTACCCTCACCACCCGCGCCCTCAGTTATATCCGCGTCTAGGGCGGCAGAATAGAGACGGTGGCGTCCGCGACACTACCCTTACCACTGCGCCCTCAGTTATATCCGCGTCCCCGACACTACCCTCACCACCCACGCCCTTCATTATATCCGCGTCTAGGGCGGCAGAATAGAGAGGGTTGCGGTTGAGGGCGGC